CACCGTGGTTGTGCCGAAGGCGAAGAGTTCTGGCGGGATGGCCGTTGTGACAGACCTGCCAAGTTATAGCACCTGTTTCAGCTCTCGGGAAAGCAGTTTGCCGTCAAGTTGTTTGTGTGTTCCAAGATTTGCGGTTGCTCGGGCAAGAGGTGAACGCCATTTAAACATGGCTTGGGGAAGTCCATAATGAGGATAGTAGGCAAAGGGAGTGTCAAAGCTGTCATGTGGGGGGCCTTGACATGTTTTTGGTCGTCGTTCGCCTTATCCCATGACATCCTATCTTTAGGGCTTTCGGGCAGAAACTGAACTACACACTTGATAAAATAGGCTCTAGATAAATAAAAAAACAATAATTATATATATATATATTGTTTTTTTGGCAATTGACTTGCTGATTTCAAGGTTCTTGAGAATTGAGATTGAAGATTGCATCTTCTCAGAGTCTTCTCACTGCCAGGGCTTAGTTTAGTCCTTCTTATACGACTCTCTGACCCATCACACATGAGAAGCTAAAAGAGAATGAACTGCAATGGCAATGGTGGTCCACCGTTCCCACTCATTCCCCCTTGCGGGAGAACGAGAGGGAGATAGATAGATAGGTAGACAGATAGGTGGATCGATCGGCAGGTATATACATAGGTAGGTAGGTAGGTAGATAGATAGATAGATAGATAGATCGATCGATAGTTTTTCAGTTTTTCATGTTCAAGCGCGCACGAGGAATCTCGCAATTGCGGGGCACACGTCCCGGCTGAACTAGGCAAGCACCGGAGTGCGCTTCAGCACCATCATCAAAAAGACGACACTCCACCAAAAGCCTCTATGGGAGTGAAGTGTGAAGAAGCTCAGTTCGAGCTGGGAGGATGTCTCAAGGGCTGCCATCAAACAACATGAAAAATAAACGAGTCAGTCCTCTGGAGCTCAATCTCTTGTGAGAGGGCTCACTGAGGAGTGGTTCAAAGACCAAAAAGAAACCAGGCTGCTGTCAACCATATGCACAAACAATCTAAGCAAAGGCAATGTACACTTCACAATCATGCCTCAAGACACGGAGAACTCAAGTGCCAGATCCAAGTGTGATCATCTGGTGCAATTACAAGTCATTGCTCTCCGCAAGCAGGGACCTGTCTGGAGTAATGAGAGCGTTTGAGCTCGCTGGGAGGATAGATTACGCTCAACCCCCAGACGAACATTCAGTTGAACCACAGGTCGGTGGAAAATCACCTGGCAAGCGTTGCAGCCTGACAGGGGAGATTGCTTTCGTTTTTTGTGGCTGTGCATGAAATGGTCAATTTGGAGAACCTGTACAAGTTCATGGTGCCTCAGCGGAACATGCTTTCTCAGTGCTTCATGCGAGACCACCAATTTGCCGCAGACACTGCAAGGATGAGGAATGGAAAGGACAAGGAAGGCAAAGCAAATGAACGGAAAAGGAAAAGGAAGGGGAAGGAGTTCAAATTGTGAATACGCCTATTCCAGGCAATCTAAAGATGCATATTGGAAAGGAAATCCTTTACAAAAAGTAAACGGCAAGGAAAGAAAAGGACAAGGAAGGAAGGGAAAGCAAAGGAAAGAAAAAGGACATGGACATGGAAAGGGAGGGCATGTAATTTGTGAAAATGCTTTTTCCATGCCGTCTAAAATGCATATTGGAAAGCAAGCAACAGGACAGGAAAAGGACAAGGAAAGGAAAGGAAACAATTTGTGAATGCTCATGAAGCCGGGCCGCGCCAGTGACATGCTGTATGGGCATTCCACTGGGAGACAGGTGCTCTGAAACTCCACGACCTTCGACAGTCTGAGAAAAACGTCACAAAGCGCTTTGCTGATTGACCCCGGAACAGGGCGGAACGGTTCGCGTTTGGAAAATTGACGGTTGTTTACATTCGGTTCATGAAACATTTCGGTTCTTGACATTCGCTAACTTTCAGTTCAGTTCGGTTCCGAATCGATTCGGGACCCTTCCTGTTAGCGTCTAGACAAGAGCCGCAGTGAAGGGAAGGAACCGCGAATGTGTCACTAAAAAGTTCTCTTTTTTTCCCCCAAACAATTTACTGTTAGGGGTTCTCAATTCTTTCTTAAGATGTGTCCGCCGTTTGTGTCACTGGTGGTGTCCGCCCTTTTCCGCTGGCCATGCAGCTCGCTGCTGGGTCTGTCACTGCCAATGGCCATGCAACGTTTCTACTCATTTGTCTCCCAGGTCTCTCACTCCCAATCGCCATGCAACATTTCTACTCATGTGTCTTCCAGGTCTGTCCCTGGTGGTGTCTGCCCTTTTCCGCTGGCCATGTTCATTTGTCTCCCAGGTCTGTCACTGCTGGTGTCCCTTTTCTGTTGGCCACGTAGCATTTCTATTTCTCAGCTCCTGCGCTCAGGTCGTTCCAAGTGAGGTCAGTGAGTTGTGAAAGGGCCCAAAACATGGCAGTCGTTGCTAAGGCGGACTGCCATCAACCATCCGATCGCTGCCTCCTTCTCGATTGGGCAGAGGACAAATTGGCAGCCAGGGGGCTCTCCCGCACTGTGTGCGGTCTGAGACGGCCCAGCAGAAGACTCCATACTGACGATGCTGACAACTGAACGTTTGGTATGATTGACTGGACAGACCATGATGAATGATGACGAAAAAAGGCCGCTAAATCCTCATCAGTATGGATGTCTCGAAGCAAGGCTGGACGAAAAAGCCGGTACTGTTATTGTCAACAAAAACACACGCATGGGACAAACCCTGAGAGGCAGCATACTCTGCATGGGACTGCGCCAAAAGTTGGATTTGATCTGGACCAGTGCCTGGAAGACATCCAGCTTGCAAAGGCGTAGCAGAATTGGGCAGGTAGCGTTGAGGCTTACTGCGCCATATTTTGCGCACCAGCTTTGTCAGGGGACATCTGGCAACATGATGCCGCGACAACCGCGTGGGTCATGGGCGTGGCAAATCATCTCTGGCAAGGCCTCAGCAGACATCTCTGAACTTGGTGAAGGCTTTACTCCATCTCTCCTGAAACAGCTGACGAGGTGCCGGAATATGAAGTCAATCCACAGCACCCCATCCATGGGTGTAGCTGGAGAGGATCCAAAAACGCGCTCTGTCCCTGCCAGTGAGGACATGCTTGCCAGTGAGTCGTCCAAGGTGAAGCCTGTGTTGTAAGGTCAATGGTTGAAAACATCTGAAGGACAGTTTGATGCCAAAGTAGCTGTGTTGATGGACCAGTTTGACAGGTGTATGACCTGGTGCCCTTGGGATCAACAACCATTTCTCACCGTCTTGAACCTTGATGTGTTTCTTGAGACATGATTAGGTATATAGATGGATCGATCGATCGATCGATACATACATACATACATAGATAGGTAGATAGATGGATAGATAGTCAGATAGATAGATAGATAGATAAATAAATAGATAGAGTGAGTGAGCACGAGAGCCAGCAGAGGGATAGATAGATGATGCTTCATGTTTGCTTTTAAGGTCCTCGATCGCAAAGCCACGCTCTTCAGGTCTGTGCGGTGCGATGGAGTGGGCCGCACCAGGGCTACGAGGCCCATGTGGAGCGCTACCGCAACAGCCCAGTGATGCACAAGAGCGTGCCGGATGAGTGGCTGAGCAGCCGAGTGCAGCTGGGAGGGGGCCTATTTCAGAGTTCCTTCTGAACATGCCGAGACAAATTGAGTTTGGCTGAATCAAGTAATACCAAGCAGGAAATATGTGGAGGTATGTGCACGTGTTCCGACATATCCTTGTTGGTACGAGATTGATCTGGTCTAGCTTCGACTTCAGCCGTGTACAGCCGTGACTTCCGCCAAGACGTGGTTTCAGGTATCGTCCTGTGATCTTTCTTCGAGGTCAACGTCAAAGCTTCCCAGCACCCACGAAGTTCATCAAGCCACCCCAGGCGAGGTCGATGGAGGGCCCATTTTTACGTGGGTGGGCCACTTTTGGAGGGGCGCATTCGGGCGATCCAGTTTGTTGCAAATGACAATCTGTTGGTGTTCATGCTTCCTGTCTAGTTTCAGAGGTCAAGCGCTTTTTTGGGGCAAGCAACCATTGATTGAGCCTGGGACACCTCGCGCACCTCGCACACTTAGCTATTGATTGGACCTTGGCAAACACGGGCATCAGCCTTGGATAAACAATCCCAATGGCTGCATCAGCAGGGCATATCGTGTTTGTACTGCACTCTCTTGGTTCTTTGGCGCTGTAACTTCGACCTCGCCAAAACCATCGAAATGGGCCAGGTTCAAAGCCGTCGACAGGCGCGGGGTGAATAAATGAAGAGGGCCCCTAGAAGATGGGTAGGCTGTAGAGAGTCAACAGTGCTAGAATGTCATGACCTCACCATGATGCTGTTGTAACACAACGATTTTTCTAGTGACGAGCTGGATGCCAGGAGTCACGATGATTGTTGCCAGGCACGTCATGTATAGTTTTTATGTCCCATAGTCCCTTTCGGCGAGAGGAGGGGGAAGAGGCGTAGCGTACATCTTCCTCCTTGTCCCTTGCACCTAATTTGCTGGCATGGGCAGCTCATTGCCCATCTGAATTATGGCTCTCCGATTTGGCCCATGTTGGGGGGCAACTTCTGCAAGATGTAAAGTGAATTCATACGCATAAGGTGGAGACGGCGATGGCGATCTCGCATCTGGTCATCTCGCAGTGACGTTGGCCAGTGCGATGTGCGATGCCGTGCCATTTTGAAGCTCCTACATGTCCAATTTTCGAACACGAAGAGAAGGTGGCATTGTAAAGAATTGGCGCACTTCATTCGGTGCAGTGAGAGAACGTCGCCCTGTCGCCATGCAGCTTGCCTGGCATATGCAAAGGCTATGCAGATGGGCAAAGGCCGTGTTTCAAAAAGTGGTGGGAACGACTCCGATTTCTTGACCGAAGAGATGGACTCCACAGGCCTTGGAAGATCCTCTTTATATATTGGGACTGATGTTCATAGCAGTGACTGCTGATCCGCACTATCACTTGCAGCCTTGGCTGCGCTCGCTCCACCTAGGCCGGGAGTCTTCAGGTTCCGGGCGCTGTGGCGAGCTCAGCAAGGATCTGCCAGATCCAGATCAGAGGGTCTGGCACCTGATGAGAATTTAGATAGCGCGGGAAGATGGTTTCACTTGGCAACTGGGTGTTTCAAAAAAGCGTTTCTTTGTTGGATCTGAGGCATTGCAAAACTTTCGGTATCATTTGCATGGTGTTTGGGAGAACTCCAAGAAAACTTAGGCTTTGGATTTGCTTCACCTCCCAAACTAGCATCGCCCCAGCTCTATAACATACATATTACATAACTAACTAAATAAATACATATATATATATATATGTATATGTATAGAAATTTGTTTTTGAATGGTGTCGTGAGGTCCAAATGGTCGTTGACGCTTGGGTCCTCAATTTCCAGCACATTGTGATTGTTCTTGTATCCTGTATAGATGGATGTGGAACACAGACAGTAGAGTCACTAGTCCACTTTCAATCCATTCTTTCTCTGGAATAGATTTTCATTTGACATTTCCTCGTGGAGAATAACTGATCAGAGGGATTGTGGGTATCATAAAGTCTTCTTTCTTTGATAGTCCCCATTGAACGTAGATACTCTTGCCCCAACTAAGCTAGCCTTCTAAGGCCGAAAGATGCGCAGAGGTTCCAGCAGAGGCACAGATTGTTGGGCGCAAGTTTGGTTGCTCATTTAGCAACCGAATTCTTGCATGTCATTTTGCTGATGTGTGGAAGCTGACCGTGTGCAGAATCTATTGGCAATCCATTAGCTGCTTTCTTGCAGGGAAGTTTTGTGAAAGCCGCTGATGTATCTCCATGCTGAACTCTGTCTTGACCTAGTTGGTGTTGTTTGGCATCTGACCAACTCATATCTCTGTCGCAGAGTTTGTTGGCACAAGGATTGGCTCGCTTCCTGTTTCTGTCAGGAGAGAGGGCGTGAAGAATTGGCAGACAAGGAGGACGGTCAAACCACACTTGCGCAGATCTAGGTTGCATATTTTGCACAGTTGAGAACAATAGTCTCTCCAATGATCATAGTTTATACAAAAGATGGCCAGGTGCCACTTCAATTCTGATCAGGCGGAGGATCCTCCTCAGATGGCTGATCAGAATGAGGTGTTTACTTGGGTGGGTGGAGGGTGTGAGGGGAAGACCTGGGTGCTATGACTTTGAACATGACAATTTTGTGAACTCAGTGAACTCTTTCAAAGGAAGGGGGG